GAAACCAAGAAGACAGGTTGTGGCAATCTTCACTGAGATGCCTTTGAATGGATTCCAGATCTTTAGCAGCCGTGAAAATTACTGTATCATCCGCATAAGTGATGATTGAGGTTGACTGAAGAGGCGTATGCACATCATTAAAATGGATAGTAAACAATAGCGGACCCAATATACTTCCTTGTGGAACTCCAGAAAATATGGGATTGGCATCTGACAAAGCACCTTTGAATTGGACTGATTGTGTTCGAGAAAACAAATAATCAGTAAACCAATGAAGCTCCTTATTCGTTGATATCTGCTTTTCTTTTGTCCAAACTTTCCTGAAGCTTAGTGATTTTGTTGTCAGTAAATGTTCATTTTCATTCATATGGGAACAATCTTCCAAGTTCACTCCGAGATTAGTTTTAATTTAAGACTTGGTAAGGACTGCATAATTGCAACAGAAGATAAAATTTGGAGTTCAATGTTTTGTGTTCCGTAAAATAATTTGATTAAAAGCCACTGTAACTTTCAAAAGGAAAGCAGGAATGAGTCCACAGAGGTCCAAGATTCCTTACATTGTCCGCTAGATGAAGAAGGGACTGAATGTTAATAGTTTCCTTTCCTTAAGAATAGTGAGCTAAAAAGACATGAGGCAAAAATGTTGAAGCAACTTTTCTGCGTGGTCGAATTCGTCAAAAGAAATGCTGTCTTCTAACAAAACAAAATTAGCCTAACCTAAAGTTAAAATGCCTGTAGTAGTCTTCTGACAAACACTGCTTAAAACTATTGGCCCATAAAACAGAAGAAAGGAACGTATTCAGAAGCCTTCCGATACTGTTTTTCAGTCTCTTTTCTCGCAGGCATCCCGTGATTCCATTTGCAGGTGGCTATAGTTTTTAAAGCATCTCATTGTGCTTGTTAACCTCATCTGTGACATTAAATGGTTTTGTCTTACAAGAGGGGGAAAACCACATGTGCAATAAGAATTTTGTAATGCCTTCGAGAACACAGTGCATATAATCAACAGCTATTCCTTTCACTATGTCGTGGTATTGAAGACCAGCAAACCAACATGGGCTTTTGACTATCACTGCTTTTCCTTGTGAGATTGCTGCTTTAGCATCTGCAAGAAACTCGGCAGTTCTTTGCACTCCCTTCAGGTTTTCTCTGTTAAAGTGGAGGGTGTGTACAAGTTCACCTTTTTGGCCAGCTTTCATGGTACAATCAGGCTGAAAACACTTAAAACAGCAAAATGACCCATTAAAGTGCACATTGTAGCATATACAGGCGTTGGCAGCGAGATCACATGTTCCACATAAAAGTATTGCGCATATGTTCAGTATGCCCGGTCTATAAGGGCTTTCAATGACCTTTCCATCTCTTTCCAGCCTACTTAAAGCTGATTGGAAGGGTTTAAGGTAGACCCACATTGCAGGCTTTGGCGAGCAAAACCACAATCCTACTAGTATCATGTTGTCTTTCCACCATTCCCTCACTGGTCAGGCTTTAAACGATATCTTCAATGAACAAAACAACTGCCATGACTTATAATGCAGTTATGCCAACAGTTAAACAGGAACCAGGATAGATTGGGGCTGACTCCTAATTAGCCTGGTGTTGGTCGTTATTTTCTGCTTTTGTCTCCATCCTTCGAATTTCTTCTATGTCGTCGTCTTCGTCTTTGACGAGCCAAACCACAATCCTGCTAGTATCATGTTGTCTTTCGAGAAGCGCTTCTTGGGAGGCAGTTCATTGATAACTAAGTACAGAGGCCGAAGTGGAAAGTTTCATGACTTAAAACAGGCACTCCCTCTATCTTTCACGTAAAAGATGTGTTCTGTGGACATGACAATACATTTGGATGTTTTGACAATGTCTTGTAAAGTTCGCCATTGTATGTATCGCATCATCGATTGTTTTCGCAATTAGATGGTGTTCCATGTCTTCATAAAACCCTTCATGACGGGCTTTGCTCACCAAAAAAAATTATGCAAATTAGGCTAAGGGTAGATTGAATCTACCCATGGCTTATGATTAACTGAAACAGGAGACCACAATTCGCGCCTTCATACGACTGAGGTGTTACTTTGGAATCCTCGGTAATTACTTTTTTCGCACTTGCCGACATCCAAAAACACCCGGCATGGGAATCACGAGACGTGTAAATAAGACATTTCTTGACATAATAAAAAGGTTTTCCAGATATGGACACGCATTTGTTGGCTTTACTCGCGCGGAGACACACGTCAACTGTTACTTCTCACACGAAATAGTATTCAAGGCATGGCTCTACTGTTAAAAAACCCCGCTCTTTATTGATCGCACAACCATAACTATAAAAGGCGATAGCAAGAGAAATAAC